AGATAAAGAGAAAAAAGCCAAATTTAGTTGCACTTTAAAAGAAACAGAAATTACAATATATACAGATTACTTAGCTGCCATCCAAGTAATCAAACACAGAAATGATATAGAAAAAGAGAGAAAAACATTAAAACTCAAAAATACAAGTATATTAAGACAAATCAAAAAGATATAAAAAATGAAAAGCCTTAAAGTATATTTAAAAAAGATCAAAGGATATAATAAAAACAAATATAATGATCTAATAGATAGGCTTGCAAAGAAAGACACAAGAAAGCATACAGGTTAAAAATATAAATATCAGATATATGATATTTACTGATTGCTAATTATTGATGCCAAAAATCTGATTTATATTGACAATGTATAAAAGTAATATTAAAAGCATATTAGATTAAAAATAATTATCAGATAAATATCAGAATATTTAATATTTATTTTTAACCTATATAATTCTAATATTTTTTTATATATTGCTAATATAAATTAGATTTTTGGTGTTAATAGTTAGCAATTAGTAAATACCAAGTATCTGATATTATGTTTTCAATCTGTAGCAAAGAGCAGACAAGATTATTATAAATAGCAACAAGATGAAAATATATAATAGTAGATAGCCTAATAAGAGAGGTTATAAATAAAATTCTAATATTTAATTAGATACAAAATATTTAAAGCTGAATAAAAATAGCAGATAGTTGAATAAAAATAAAGAGAAGGATCTAGATTAGTAAGAAATATAGAGATAGATAGATAAGAACAAGAAAAGAAGATATATAAATAAAATAAAAACAAAAGATAAATATTTCAAATTAAATATTTAGATGAACTACTACCAACTTTAACAAAACTGCATACAGTCAACCTCCTCTATAGTCACTTCTCTATAGTCACAAAATTAGTATAATTACAAATTTATTTTTACTAATTATTTATAGCTATATAACAAATACTTCTATATTAGTTACACCTCTTTATAATTATAGTTTGTTGTATCCTGAAGGTGTGACTATAGAGAAATTTAATTATATAAGAAAACTAGAAATATACAAAACAAATATATGTGTAGTATGTAAAAGCAAAGCAGAAAATATGGATTATCTTGTTAAATATAAAGAATATCAAAAAATATGAACTATTATTAAAAATGAAGCAAGTCAGAAGGGTCTCAAGATATTACAGAAAGAAGATATAGAAAAGAGCTTTATACAACTAAAGATGAAGTCAAAAATTTTTTTTTTGAGAAAACTCAAAAAAATCACAGAAATAAATAAGAAGTTTTATAATAATAAGAAAAAAAAAGAAATTAGAAGCAAAATAAAAGATAAAAGTATACAGCAAAAGGTGTTTGATATAATTAAAAAAAAGCTTAACAAAAGATTTTAAAAATATATTTGAAACTTTATAGAGAGTAAAATTACAAAAGAGAATAAAGACAAAAAAAATAAAAAGAAAAAGAAGCATAATATAGAAGTTTAAAGATCAAGAAAACAAGATTGTAAAGAAGAAAAAAAGAAAATAGGCTCAAGAAGAAAATAAAACTATATTCTAAAAATAATACAAAAAAATAACTAAAATCTAATCCAATATCATATCAAGTCTAACTAGTTTTCTTGAATTAATATAATAAAGAAAATAGATATTACTAACAAGGTTAGCAGTTTTCAGCTTATAATTAAAGAAACTAAATCATCAGAAAGTTGAGAATTTATCATGAAGTAAATTGTCTGCTTAGGCAGGTTATATCTGAATTATGAAGCTAAGTAAATTTTTATTAGTATAAAATATAATATAGAAAATTATATTTAAATTAAATATAAATTTCTGTTACTTTTAATTAAAATAATAAAAGCCAAATTGCCAAAAAAAATTTAATCAAAATGAAATTTTTTATATTTCTAAAAAAAATAAAATTTTTAAATAGCATTATTTTAAAAAAAGTTTTTTAGGTTTAAAGGATTAGAATTATTAATAAATAAGTATATATAGATTTTATAGGCTCTAAAAAAAAATAAAAGAGAATTACTATTTTATTTTAATTAAATTTCATTTTAATCTGTGATAATTAATAGTTTTTGCTAATATATTTTGAGCTAATAATTCAAATTAAATTTACTATAACTTCTAGTATATTTTAATAAACTTATTAAATTAAAAATTATTTGTAAAATATTAAAATTTAGGCTATTAGTTTATAATAACAGGTCACTATATATAAATAGTTAATTAAAATTGAACATATACTTATATAATATATTGCTTATTATTATTCAATAAAAATTTTTTATAAATTTTATAACTTTTATAATAAAAAATACAAAAGAAAATTTTTAAACCCTAAATATGATTGGCTGCTATATATAAGATTACTATAAAGATAGATCTCTATTATATTTTTGTCTAAAATTTATATTTAAAAAAACTAACTATTTTATATTTTTATTAACTAAAAATATAATTTTGTTTAAAATTTTAAATTTGTTTAATAAGACTTATATATTATTAAAATAGTACAACAATCTAGTTTTAGCAAATAAATTTAACTAACTTCCAAATATTATTTTTTTAAATAAATTTTTTTTATAAATATTAAAACTATTTAAGTTAAACATCTTGATAACTTTAAAATTTTTTATAAAAAATTAAAATCAAAATAATTTATAATTAAACAAGCTTAAAATATATTACAGTCAATTTTCTCTAAGTGTAACTTGCTGAACCTATAAAAATTTTAACATAAAAAAAATAAAATTTTGTATTTAGAGAGAAGTTATATTTATAAAATATAAAATTTAAATTGTTTTATATATTTGGGGCCAAAAAAGCTCTTGCATTTAGAAAAAATTTTATTAATAGTTGCATTTAGAAAACGTGCTCTTAGAGAGAGTTGACTGTATTAAATAAATAAATTTGGCCACTTTATATATTAAATTTGGTCACTCTATATGCTAAATTTGACCACTATATACAGTATATTAAATTGATAATAATTTGGTTATTACTTTATATTAAAATTTCAAATTGACTATAATATATATATAAAATTAAATTTCAAATTTAGTTGCTAAAAATTTTCATTTATTGGAACTAGGTTGTTTGCACTGTATAATTATTTTTTGATATTTGTAGTTAATTAAACTTACAGTTAGTAATTTAACTCAATATAAAGTAGATATTATCATTTTAGTACTTAGAAACTCGATTATTAAATCGGTTTGCCTTAAAATTGTTTGAAGCAATTACTCGTTTCAAGTATGATTTTTTAATTTTTGCTACTAACTAAACTTGTTACTAGTGTCCTTTCGAATAAGGTTACTTATTATAAAATTTAATCCAATCTATTTTTAACAAGTTATTTAAAAATTATTTTATGCTAAACGAAGCAGGATAACAACTCTATTATTAACATTGTTAAAATTTATATCTAAAAAATTGATTTTTATACAAAATTGTAATAACAAACATTGCTGGTTTTCAGTATATTTCAATCTTGTGCAGTGTCACTATTTTACGCCCAAATCATATAAAAACGAAATTTTGTGCTGTTTATTTTACAAAATTTTTATCTCGCAAGAGTTAGTTCGTTAAAAAGAATTTTTTTAAGCCTTGTTAATTAAAATATGAAAGACGTACGTACGTTTCCTATAAATAAATCATTGTATACAGTAAAACATATTTAACTCATAACAATGACTACCAATGACTACTGATTAGATTTAAAGTCAATTTTGCGTAATTTACGTATTTGTTATGTAAACAATATTCGCATGTATTGTTTAAAATGCAGCAACGAGCCACGTACTTTTCGCGTTACAGTACATTAGCCACTTCTCGCTTATTTTGTGATTTTTATAATGATAGATGAATATATTGGCTTGTATTATATTCCTAAATTAGTAAATTTAATATATTTTGAAGTAAAAATGGTATAAAGTTGTTTGTTTTGTTTGTTTACGTGTTGTTTATTCATAACCATCTGTTGTAGTACATCTGACGTTTATAAAAAGGGCAAATGGCAAAATCAGCCCTAAAATCGGATTTTGTTTGTATGTCTTACTTTTTCTAAGTAAGCACCGTGTTTTCAAATAAAGGAAAAAAAATTTTAGAGACGATAAAGCAAGTACGAATTTTTTACTTTCTTCTAAGCACAATTGTTATCAGTTATGAACGCGTGTATTTACATTCTATTTTTTTTTCGTATAAAGTAGTTTAAACATACATCCCGAAATCGACTCACTTCTATTACAGTATTATGAATACCACGACTCGATCATCTCTCTTAGCTCTTCCACCGGAAACATTTCTTCAGATTTGTAAATCACTTTCACCGGCTGATTTACTCTCTTTATCAACTGTTTGCAAGACATTTTATAACGATCTATGTCACAGCGATTCCATAACTATCCAAGAGATTTGGCGTCAGTCACGACTTGAACATATCCCGTGTCGAGAATTAGGTCCACTTGAAGGCATGACAGAACGAGATTATATAAGATTTTTAATGGAAGATAAATGCGGGTTCTGTGGAGTCAAGAATAGGGTTACAAGAATTTACTGGGAACGAGGAGTTCGCGCATGTATTGGATGTTTCAGAGAAAAAACTATACAGTAAAAATTCTTTTATTTATTTCGTGGTTTGAAATTTTAAGCATTAATAATTTAATATTTTATTTTTTTTATTTATTTTTATTTTTTTATTTTTTAGTGAAGACAGCCTATCTTATATTAAAAACATAAACCCTAATATTGTTGCATTTCTCTCGTCCTCAACTCATAAAGATGGCAACAAAAATTGGCGTTACTGGTTTAACCAAGTACAGTCTAAAAATACTGAATTCCAACTTATCTCTCAGCAAGAACGCGATGATTGGGTCAAACAACAGTCTCTTGTTTTCTCTCAACGCGAACAACAACTTATATTGCGTCGTCAGGAGGATGATAAATGTCGAGAACATGTATTAATTGAGCGAAGAAAAGCTATAAATTCGAAATTAGACGAAATGTGTTCGCTGAAAAATCCTGATGGTAGTCAGAAGTATACAAGATTTATTTTAGATATGTGTCCTAGTCTAGAAAGATGTTATAAATATGAAAGGCCGTTTAATGAGCGAGGTTGGGTTATTTTAAGACCAAAGTTGATAAAGGAGTATCACGAAATTACAGAAAGGTTAGTGGTATCAAGTGAAGATGGAAGTAGTAGTCGAGATGACGATTCTTCAGACGATGAATCCGATGCTCGAATGGCTATGTTTTTTCTTGCTTATGCTCTTAATTCTCTTGTTAATAATTCCTAAATTGAGATTTGTTGAAATTATACGGATGATAATACAATGTTCTGAACAATAGAATGCATTTAGTTTAGATTTGTGGTTTGATGTCTTTATTTTAGTTGGGTTATATTCGTTAGTATATAGCAAATAATGGATATTAATATATTAATGTTTAATTATCATGTCAGCATATATCATAGTTAGCATTTAACAACTCTGGGTTGGTAGCAATTAAAGTCTAAATTTTGCTTAACGTTAAGTGAACTTTATTTTAAAATGAAAATTATCTATCGCTATCAAGAAATTTATTTTCCTTAAAATGTTATTACACTATTAGCTATGTGATAGTCAAAACTTAGTATTTTAAGCCATATGGTTTTAGCCGGCTGGCCATCCAGCTAATCAAAACATTGGCTAAGCAGCTTGAAATAGATTTTTCCGTAAATAACATGCCAGCTAACCATATAATGTTAACCGGCTAAACCAGTTTAGCCACGACTGCCTTGTTGCCTTGTTGGCTTAACGTTAAAGCACTAAGTTCCATAAATACAATCGAGTCAGAATTAAAGACCAAGTATCTAATAGTAAAAATTCACAAGATGCATTCACAGAAGAGTTAATATTTTGGACAAAAAATATTCTGTTGCAAATTTTTCTATTACATCTATTTTAAAATTTAATTGGCTAAATTACAGGAAGGTTTTTAGTGTTTCGCGAATGAATCCAGTATTGTTAACGGGTATAAATGTAGCATTTCATGTAGGGTACCAGAACTGAAACTATATAATTAATAATGGAAAATACACTACGTACTGGCGACAGGTTTCATGTGTATATCACAGGCGTTTATCGCGCCGGGAGCAGGTCTTTCAAAATCGTCAATTCGGATCCGGATCCGAATCCGGTTTATTGAAAGGCTTACTGCTACAGCATAGCGGGCTTTAATTTTGATTGGATGATCGGATAAAATGTTACACAATATGTTCACATATTAGAGTAACGTTT